AGAGAGAGAGAGAGAGAGAGAGAGGGAGGGAGAGAGAGGGAGAGAGAGAGAGAGAGAGAGTACTATTACTATCGATGACGGTTATGAGAGAAGGAAATCGTTAGTTGGTTAGGAGAGAGAAGGAAACCGTTATTATCGATAAGGCTTAAAAAATCGGAAAACCATTGCATCAGTTCAGCTTGAGGAAAAAAGGTTGCTATCAGGGGCACTCAGGAAAAGAAGGAAACCGTTACCAGTGACGTTCAAGAAAAAAGGAATACATACACAAGAGTGCCTTCTGCTTGACAGAGATAAGGCAGCTCAGGTCATGTTAAGGACACCTGTACACGCATTATTATACATCAATCCCTAACCATAATTCTCATTAATTTTACTTAAGGACAACCTCACATAAACGTCATCTTCACCCTAACCCTAACTGAATCATTATGGTCTTGCACGGGGGACCTAAAGTTGACTAAATAACACTAGCTCATTGACGCCTCCCCGGGTGTGCTAGACACTATGAAGAGCCCATTATTGTATAAACGTTCTATATATTTACATATAATAAATGGTTGCAAGCACATGTTACTGGTGCTGGTAATCCCAGCTGCTGCCCTGCTATGCCATTCAGTTGATCAACGTGCAAATCTTACTTGTTTCATCTTCGAAGATGACAATACTAGTGAAAGTACAAGTTTTCATGCAAATCATATATATGCGCCGTCATTAAAGATAGACCAATGCTAGTAAAGGCACAGAGCATTTACATGCAAATCTTACTTGCACCAACATTGAACAGGGTGACATAACTGAAGGGTAACAAGTTATGCACGCAACTTACGTGGTCCGTATAGTGCGTTGGTGGCCGGTGAGCTGAACTGGGTCATGTACGATGGCGTGTAATCCACGGGTCCACTAGAGGCCGCCGCCGCTGCGACGTTTCGCATCAGCGACACGGGCACGGGCACTGACGACGTTATTAGGTCTGATGATCGCGACGCTTGCGGTTCACCCATCGACAAGGGCATAAGTCTAGAATTTTGATTGGACGTTAATGCAGGTGGTCCTCCAAACACTACGCGGTCAGACAATCGATAAGCTGGAATAGGGTCACCTATTGGCACAGGCATTAACCTGGAATAAAATGTAAATGCCTCTGTTTTAATAGCCGTGTGTAGACAGACTTCAGACCAGTAGCCTGTTGTTGGGTCAGTACAAATATGAAATAAAAATGGGGAAAACTTGAACATGCTCACACTCATCTAACAAATAGGAAATACAAGGATTGTCAATACAGGTAACCGACACTCTAACAGTGTTTCTATTTGCTATATCATTGACATGATCTAGTACTGGCAGTCCAATGCTCTACAGGTCTGTAGTCATTACACACTCGTTCTATATTCTACAAGTAGGGGATGTGATGTGTACACATATACATATATATTATATATATATATATATATATATGCATACTATATCCATAGAACCAGTTCAATAAAATTGTCTGCTTGCCATAACTCAACTGACTCAGTAAAAATGTGACAGATTTTTTTCTGTACTCAGTTTTTCCAATACGTGATGATTAAGAATTATTGCCACCCCTCTCAAATGTTAGGACACACGAGTTATAGCAGTTGAACAATTTTTTGTCCAGCCTAAGGGTGTGAACTCAAACATACTACAATACTAAACATAAACCAAAAATATGTGTATGCGGACTTTTAAATGAGTGTGCAGTACCAGTAAACCATCCAATTGTATAAGAAAAGAAATGATAGCTGAAATGAATGAAGCTGAGCCTTAGTAAAACCTGTTGCTGTAACAATCATGGGCCCACTTCTACAGCTAGTGTCTACTGTAAAAGGTAATTGCAATAAAATGACTGATACTCTTATAAGATGTCATACTAATCCCCTAATATTTTCATCCACAGCTCCCAGTTACTATGACAGAGTATCCACTAAAGTCCAATGTACTACTAATACAGCATAGTAGTCACTACAGGTCCAGTTACTATGGCATTGTAGTCACTAAAGACCCAATATTACAGCATAGTAATGTTCAGCTTCAATCATGACATAGCTCCAGTAACTGTAGACGCAGAGCCAAAAACAATACAGCGACATTAAACAGTACGTGAAGTCAAAGACTAAATGATACCAAGCATACACTGCAAGATCAAGAATGTCTTCTTTGAGGTGAAATAACTATTGGGAAATATTGGGGAATAATCATCATCAAGACATTTGTAGAAAGGCCACACTGAGAAGGGCCTCAGAGTGAATATGGGCAAGACGAAGATCATGATTTGTGGTGCTGAACTTGACCTCTTGGAAGACTCTGGGAAGTACCCCTGCGTTGTGTGCAGGAAGGGAGTTGGGAGTAATTCCGTCCGCTGTCGCGGCTGTGCACACTGGGTACATAAGAACAAGAGTAGATAATAACAAAGAGTGAAACACCCGATTCCCGCATTTTTAACTGATTTTTCTCATCAAAATTTGCCACCAATAAAGAAGCAAGTGTATACGTTCCTCAGCTTATTATGACCACTAATCACTCACCTTCGTGGTACTGATATTCGTTTACATATATTAGCTAGCGTATTGCTGTAAATCGTAATCTTGCACGAGCTGAATTCGCACGATTTACCGCTGTTGTTGTTAGGTGTTTAGACAACTTTAGAAGCTGCAGTGGTGCCAATATTTAGCAACGGACTGCTTCCAAATCATTCGTGCCCCGATAGGGGTTTAATGTACTTTATTACCTGCGCGCGCGTAATGTGATACTTACTGCAAACTACTACAAAGAATATTGTTATTATTGTACTATTACTTATGTAAGATAGTATGTCAATTTCTTGTGTTGCGATCACAATAACTGAGCGCGTCTCGCGGTTCCTAACGAGATCAAAATTCGAAATTTAGATTGTCTCTCAACCCTATGCTCTCAACCTTATCGAGGCACGAATGATTTGGAAGCAGTCCGTTGCTAAATATTGGCGCCACTGCAGCTTCTAAAGTTGTCTAAACACCTAACAACAACAGCGGTAAATCATGCGAATTCAGCTCGTGCAAGATTACGATTTACAGCAATACGCTAGCAAATATATGTAAACGAATATCAGTACCACGAACGTGAGTGATTAGTGGTCATAATAAGCTGAGAACGTATACACTTGCTTCTTTATTGGTGGCAAATTTTGGTGAAAAATATCGGTTAGAAATGCGGGAATCGGGTGTCTCACTCTTGTTATATTATCTACTCTTGATAAGAAGTGTAGTGGCATAAAAGGCCGACTCAATGAAGACCCGGATTTCCGTTGCAAGCGGTGCATGGGCGATGCCCGCCCATTTGATGGCAGACCACTGTTAGAGGTGCAGATTGGGCAGGACAAACTGGAGGTGGTACCCTCCTTCTGCTACCTTGGTGATACTCTCTCGGCAGGTGGTGGCTGTGAATTAGCAACTATCATTAGAGCAAAGACCGCCTGGGTTAAGTTTCGGAAGCTGCATCCTGTCCTGACATCTCGACATCTGTCCCTCAGGACTCATGTGTCCGTAGCGCCATGCTGCACGGGAGCGAGACATGGGCAGTGAAATCTGTTGACTTGCAACGCCTCCGGCGTAATGACAGGGCAATGATCAGATGGATCTGCAATGTCACAATCGAGGATTTGGCCCCTTCAAACGAGCTGCTGGGCAGACTGGGTATCTTGGACCTTGATGTCTTATTATGTGAGAAAAGACTCCGCTGGTATGGCCATGTTCAGCGCTCCACCGGTGCCATCAAGACAGTGGGTGAAGTTCGAGTTGTTGGTGTAAGGAGACGTGGGAGGCCAAAGATGTCTTGGAAGGAGGTTGTGAAGAAGGATAGGGAAGTGGAATCTCTCCACTGTAGACCCCTTGGATCGTGTCACATGGAGAGCAAGCGTGAGAGCTGCCAAAACTGGACCGAGCCAGATTCCTGGAGTGGGTTTCTACTAATGTGGATTTAAACCCTTGAGTCCAGTATAAAATAAAGAAACCGAAAACAACACATTGTGGACAAAATAACGACTGAAAAGAAAAGAAATAAACGATAAATTCAGCGTGACACAAGAAAAAAACGTAGGAATGCATATTTTCTAGCTTTCATGAAATATTAGCCAATAAATACGGAAGCTGTGAATGTAAAACTTAATCACACTACAGCAATACCCCATGTTATGACAACATTAGACCGTACCGAGCAATACCTAAATTCGCCCACACGTAATTTGTAAACTATCAAGAGCTAATAATACCTAGAGTGTACAACGGAAAAACGGGAAAATAGTGCTATTTCACGACTACATTATTCTACTTTGCCTGCGAGTCTAGAATAATTTCATGGTATTGCATTAAGCAGAATTCTTTGCTCTCTAAAACAAGACCAACCGCTTGTCAATACGATACTCCTAGGCGGAGATATCGGCTCCTAAACCTCCCCTCCCACATGCCAAACGCCGCCTCGAATCCACTTCTGCCAGCATCCTACACGCGGCTAAGCGTTGCTTCGTGAAAGTTCGGTTTTTCCGCGATAAATTTATGAATGGACGGTGCTTCGGTTATCATAGGTGACATTCGGGGGCATCGCCTATGCCCTTATCTTCCATTATCTTTCCTAGCACGGCTAACGCCCGTCATGATGGAGCCGGCTCCATCAAGTTTTTACAACGCAGCTCAGTTACTAAGTGTAGTAACAGTACCAAATTTGGGCATATGACATCAATTATCAGCGCTCCAAGTGGTGACGGAAACCGATAGCCAAAATGCTTCCCCGCGTGTAGGATGCTGGCAGAAGTGGATTCGAGGCGGCGTTTGGCATGTGGGAGGGGAGGTTTAGGAGCTGATATCTCCGCCTAGGAGTATCGTATTGACAAGCGGTTGGTCTTGTTTTAGAGAGCAAAGAATTCTGCTTAATGCAATACCATGAAATTATTCTAGACTCGCAGGCAAAGTAGAATAATGTAGTCGTGAAATAGCACTATTTTCCCGTTTTTCCGTTGTACACTCTAGGTATTATTAGCTCTTGAAACTATGTCTATAACCACTAATCATTGAATATAACTGTTGGAGGCTTTCCTGTTGTGTACCAACTTCTATTTCTATTAAGTACACTCATAATTTATTGGTGTACTTAGTAGAAATAGAAATAGAAGTTGGTACACAATAGGAAAACCTCCAACAGTTATATTCAATGACTATGAATAAAGAGCTATGTACGTCGACATGTGCGTGTGCGTGCGTGCATGTGGGTGAGTGTATGTGAGCAATATAGCTATATGTACGATAGAACATTAAACCATAAAACGTGCACCAGAGCCTACATAGAACATGGCACACCAATTGTACAGGCTCGGTGGCTCTAACTTGGTCATCCTTACATACTTTACCACTTCTTTTGCAACCCGCCTGAGCTGTCGCGATTGTGCAACTTGAGGTTTTTCATAAAACCAGCGCATTTACACGTGTAAATCTACACCCTGAGAACCTCATAGAACATCAAACATCTCGTAGAATCTGCACCGAAACAGCAGCGGTGACTAGGGCAACAAGGACATTTTGTGAGCGTGGCGTGACACTGCGGCCTGCCTAGTGTGCAGCACTCACCCCGGAGATATACTACTGGGTCGGCTCAGATCGAGCGCGTGGACGCTGTTCTGTGGCGGCGGGTTGTCATCGTCACTATCGCTATCCAGTGTTAGGTCAATGACCACTTCGCTCTCCTTTTTCTTCTTAGTGGGAGAAGGAGCAGTCGCATCGGCATTCATCACTGCAATCACAAATGACAACGAATGCATTCGCATGAGAGATTTTCACACCTTTAAACTAGCTCTTACTGCTGCATAACTGATATATTAGTAACAGGGAATCCTTGAAGCTTAGCATAGATCATCTGCGCAAGCTCAGAGCCTTAAAGAACTATGAACATTAGATTTAAAACAACCATCTCACCAGTAAATCGAATAATTAATAAATAAAGAGAAATTTAGACTCCCCTGTCAGCGTACATACGACTAATTACCTCAGCATAAAAAATGGTAAAATGGTTTGGTAAAAACATGAGGAATCCTTGCATTAATGGTGAGTTTTTGAAAAAATAATGTTGGAAAATTGATAACTAACAAGTACCGCAGAGCGACAGCGCTCAATTGACGTGTACTGTAGCCGGGTATTCTTCTGGTAAACTCACTGGCAACCAAATCAAGTGCGCCCTCCCGCCACCGCATTCGCGCTCAGAGCATATATATCTAGGATACTACTAATACAGATCTAAAATCTATAATAGGCTTTGCTATACCGGTAGTACTATATTAACATGTTATCATGGATATGCGTCGAGCGCAGTGGTGGTGGTGGGAGGAGGGTGGGGGAGAGGGAGGGGGCAGGGGCTCTAATAGCAAAAGCAGTTCAGTCCTTTGTTAACAGTCAACAAATCTGTGTTTACCCCTCCTCTTGAGGGTCAAAAGGTTATCAGACACTTACTGTTCGCACGTCAGCGGAAAGCACATTTCATGGTACTTTCAATAAAGTGATAAAAATGGTAGGTCAGCGCTGCAACAAAAAAGTTTTGCACTTGGTCCGTTAGACCACGTCCTCAGAAAATGTCTGATATCTGACCTTTCCCCCACTGCCCTTTGACCTGTGACCTCCAATTTCGCGCTGGTGATGGGTTTCCTCCCCATCACACTACATCGAATATTAAGAGCGTAGGTCAAGCCGTTGAGATTTGTGCCGCAATTCTGTATTTCCTCCTATACCTTAAGTTAAGGGGGAAATAGTCCCTCTCCATTGACACAGCTTGACCTTTGACCCTTGACCCCAAAATTCCAAGTCCTTTTCGCGATCCCCCCCGACGTCCCGAATATCAAGACCGTACGTTAGTGTTGTCAATCAGTTGTAATTTCGTAATCGATCATCGGTTGGACCCAAGTAACCGATAATCGGTTACAATCGGTTACTCGGGGTGTTGAATGCCTGCGTGTGCGTAACGTCGTGTGCATGTACGTGTGTGCATGTATGTGCTTGTTTACCCAGCGTATAAAATCCCTAGTGCGTCCTAGGCTTTAGCCCCTCAACAGGAAGTAACTACGGCGAATGTCGGCAATTCCCGAACTAAAATAGCGATGACATCTCTGATTCTCATCACTTTTCCAAGTTTTCTTGTTCAAGTTTGACATTTATTTAGATTTTTTTATTTTTATTTTGATGAAATCGATTACGGATTTTGATAACCAAGCGCTTGGTTCGAGCCACTGTTCAACCGATGATCGAGTATAATCGATGATCGTGACATCACTAAGCGCTTGGTTCGAGCCACTGTTCAACCGATGATCGAGTATAATCGATGATCGTGACATCACTACCGTACGTCAAGCGGTTAAGATTTGTGCCCAACTGTTGACGGACGCACGGACGGACGCACGGACAATTATGCGATTCTACAAGCTGCATCTGACTTCGTCAGCTGAGCTGAAAACTATCACCAAACAGGTACAACAGACTGGTTTCAATTAAATACCTTTAGCAGGCCTCTTCTCTGGTTTGTCTGGAGTTGCTATCAGTAGAGTCTCCTGAGTCTGCACCAGCGGTTGCCAAGAACCATCTTCCATGAACTTAATATCTTCACTGTTAGGTGCCTTCTTAAATATCTCCATGAACAGCCTGAAAAGAACGAAAATCGTTAAGCAACTACTTCCAGGTTACGCCACGTTCATTATGCTTATGAGTATGATCGATAAATTAGGTGATTATCTCAAGGGTGGGAGCAAGGCAGAGAGAAGAAATGAACTCACCCATCTATCTGCAGCTTCTCAAATGCCGCAGTTTTATCACAAACAGGGCAAATCCACGTGGCCTTCTTCTCATTCATTTGTAGGTATAGCGAGGCATCGAAACACTGCAAGTGCGTGCAAGAGCTGGGCCGGCAAGGTATCTGGATCCTCATTTTACCCAGCTGCAATCATAGCTATACTTGTAAACAACTCTCTTGGTAAAAAGGATGGCACTATCCCCCGAAAAACTATCCCACCTGACATCGGAATACCAGGGAATTTCCACTACCTAATAATAGCTAATACGGTTAACCCCACATATATGCACACTCAAAAAACAAAACATTATGTCATAGTGACACGAGGGCAAAAACGCAAATAACTTACCGGACACATTAATGATACTCGTAGGCTGGTTGTTGCAATCTCACAATCTGAACTAGAGTTCTGTGCAAACTTCTCCTTAACTGTAACATAGACAAAAATATGAATGTTGAAATCACCTACAAGTATTTACTTTAAAATATATTAGTTCCTTTAATTAACATATCAACATTTATCTTCTCATTATGTTTAACAGAATCACTGCTAGTGCGTAGCACAAAAAATCCCAATTTAGTGGAAAAACTATCATGAAAGCTGAACCCTGTCTTCGTTAACTATAGACCTATTAATATCTAAAGCCAATCGCTTGCTGTATCACTATAATTAGACTTAGTATATTATCAAGTGTCAAATAGAAAATGTCAAATAGCCTAATTAAGGGCCTAATGAGCACCTCTACTGGCACATATAGGATTCTTCTTGTTCCTACTATGATATCGAGTGTCAGCTAAAAAATAAAAAAACAGCCTAATTATTGTTCTAATGAGCAACCATCTACTGGCACATACTCAATGCTTTTGTGTGCTCTGCATTGCGGATTCCTGTGTTCTTTAGCCTCTGCAGCAGTATAGAAGCATTCAGCTTTCTAACCAGGTAGACAGCAACACAATATGCCTGCAAGGAGACATGAAATATCTGTCAGGATATACAAAAACAAACTATAGGAAATTAGTTATATCCCGGCACAACATATGCAGCCCAGTGACACATTTTTAATCACATATTTAACTGTAAACACAATTACTTATAATCATCTATTAGTACATTTGATGTGTAGGATCACAGAGTAATATGTGAGAACTAGAGGGCATCCTTAGTCAGCAGTGCAGTATGAAGCTTGTAATAGCTATGAGTATGTACAATTATAGTATGATCTGCTGAGCAGTTGAATAATAATAAAGGTTTACACCGCTCAAACTAAGTGTGTAACCTTACTTATTCGACTGAAACTAAGACATGGTTTTCAGTTTTTATCATGGTTCTAGGCTTCATATGCTCTTAATATCATAACTGGAAAATATTGAACACACAAATAATCAACACACATAACAAAAGCATAAGGGATTGAAGAAAATTCTCACCCTTCCAAATTCTGATGCCCAGGAAATGCTGATGTGGTTAGAGGATGTTGGAGACAGCTTACAAAGACCTGTGATGTTCACGGGTCGACTTGGTCGCTTTGGTTCCACACCCGGTTTGTTGGATGGAATGATGTTCTGGAAGAATGTGAATAACTCATATTCACATCGATCTCATCACAGGCACATTTGCCTCTATCCCATACATACACTAAGATTAAGAACGGTAGTTTGTGCCGCAAGAAATTAGATAGCTACACATATCCCAAAAATAATAAAGAAAATTAATATCCTATTTACTAACAACCACCTCGGAGCCACTAAACAACCACCTCGGAGCCACTACATAACACACTTGCAATACATTGAAAAAAAATTGCCTCAATATAATGACATTGTATGAGCTACAAAAGCATAACTTTAACTCAAATGACACACACAACATAGAACAACAACAAAACAAACAAATGGAGCATAATTGTTCACAGTTATCATGTGCCTGTCTAAAAAAATGATGAATTTTGTAGAGTTCAAACACGACTATTTAATACTACAGAGGGACAATTTTTTTACAGGATGGATAGGATGCATTAATATTATTTTTTATTATTAATTCAATATTAATATTGATGGGGCAGAGCTGAGCATGAGAGCACTTGCGTACCGGCAGCGGACACATCTTCGTGTTAACGCGCACACAGATGCTGGGCGGGAAGTTGTCGTCTTGTTCACACGTAGACTCTAGCAGGCAGAACCTCAGCTGCACCTGTACGGTGTACTCACAGCGTGCTCCCGCGATGATGTCCCTACAGCACGCACGTTCACACATGCCCGCGCAGTTAATAACGACGATGTACACAAGCCTTACCGCGCACAGGCACGCTTGAGATCACGATTGCGGAGCATTGAAAACATTAACTCTGCAATATTCTTGCAACCATTTCGTTTTGATACAGGTTAGTACAATCGAATTTGTTATATGTTCGTACGATAACATATTTGCATTTGCTGTACAAAAAAATGCATCTGAGATGACTAGCTTTATTATATAAGCACAAATGGCAAGCAGCATGAACAGTCATCATGTACCTTGATATTGCAATTTCTTGTGCTTGCTGTGGTGTCAGGTGGAAAATTACGAATGACTCCTGGAACCTTGCATTACCTTGTGGGACTAAACAAATGTGTGGCATATTGTTACTAGCATTGCCAAACTCACAAACAACACAAGTAAGCTCATATTCCTACTACGAAATGCAAGATATTATAAGACTTAAACCGCCACAGTATTTGGAAAACGATAACCATCATAGTAAAATTAATAACTCACCTAGACTTGTAGGCCTCACTAGTTCACCCAAAGTGTCGTAGAATGGTAATTTCCTCAGTCGGACGTCTGGATGGATAGGAACTGCATTTAGGTGACTGACAGAGCCTGGGGGATTGTATATAGGTGTATGGCTGCTGCTGCTTGTATACGCACTACTCAGTGATACAGATGTATGCGCATTTGTCGTACTGAAAACAAAGAAAAACCACAAAATTTTCAATAGATTCTGAAGATTAGTAAAAGATTACTGCTCAATGACAAGTTAAATACACAAGTTTTTTAATTACAAATAGAAATTTGTACTTCCTATGCAACAAACACACAAAAATCACTCTACACTTTAGAAATTAGATGGTATATTATAATCAGTCATATACTTAATAACTGGTTCAGTTTATTTGTGTGCATATCAAAATAGCTGGTTTTTTGCATTTAGTCTTTGTACCAATTTTTCTGTCTCCAATTCTAGAGTACCAACAACTCTACCTTTATCATCTACGGTGTCATTTTTGTTCACCTATAGTAAATCTATGCACAGCCTCACTGAAAAATATCTCAAGTGGTCAAATTAAATAACAAGAATGTGTATCATCACAACTTCACAAATAATGAAATGGACAGCCTGATAAAGTGAACCATAGGATGTTAAACTGATTCAAACCTGGTATTTGATGATAAAGCACTCGTACTGAGTGGGGGTGCTGATTTCACTGGTGGGGAATTACCCCTGTGGGGGTATCTTCTTCTGACCAAAAAGCAACACGTATTTCATTAGGCAGTGCAACTAATGACCTCCAATTATAAACCATTTACTCTTCCAATGTTTTTCCCCAAAAAACAATACCTTCTATACCACTTGTCATAAAAAATGTTCAAATAATATTGCTTTAATACTCTGGGTATGCATGAATCTATTTTCAATGGACTCCAGAGTGTTTTGAATGCATGTGTGCAAATACAGTAAAAACCCGCGTATAAGAACATAGATTTTAAGAACATGTTAGGCTAAAATTTCCCATTTAGACCCCTTTACATAAGAACCTGTTTTAGGCTAAGATTTTAAAGTAGGTTCTTAATTTTCCATGCAGATGAAGACTTAAAAAGAAACACAGGTAAA